ACGAAACAAAACAAAGAAAAAAAGAAACACCTAACATGTCTTGCACGTAATACTGTAAATTATATTAAACAGTTCTGTTCACTGAAAGTGAAAAGCTATCCTTTAAAAGGTCCAAGATAACATATGTAGATCTCTAATTGAACTGGACTTTCTACCCTTGTCTAAATCTACAAAGTCAGGACCCATTTAAATTGCACAATTATGACCTTGTGGCTGTTGTGGAAGAAGTATACTATTGATATAGGGAAATCAGGGCGATGGTGGTGGAGAGACATGGGGAGGAAGAGATGGAAAATCCCTGAGTCTATAGAACTGTATCTTAAAGAAATAAAAAATAAATTAAAAATAAATACAGGCTTCCTTATTCTCTTCTTGAATAAATCATGGTTTATTTGAAAGAACTTCTATAAGACTTTGTCTTATATCCTTGATGTCATTTGAATGACTTCTGAGACAACTATGTTGAGGAAAAATTGATGCATTATAGTGATCTTTAATTTGTACAATTTAATATGTACAAAAAGAGTTGAAAAGTATGCAAATACCAGTAATCACATCACCACAGTGAAGTGAATAAACAGATCAAACACCACCCAGAATTTCCATAGGTCCCTTTCTTTCAGTTTTTAGCTAGAAATAACTGTTCAGGGACAGTGCTCTGGTGTAGTATGCTACATCACTGCCTGTGGTACCAGCATCCTGCATGGGCACTGGTTCACCAGTTTGAGTCCTGGCTGGTCCAGTTCTGACTCACCCCCGCTTATGGCCTAGGAAAGCAGCGGAGGATGATTCAAGTGCTTGGGCCCCTGCACCCAGGTGGGAGACCCATAAGCTCCTGGCTCCTGGCTTCAGATTGGCTCAGCTCTGTCTACAGATGCCATGTGGGCAGTGAACCAGTAGAGAAAAGACACATTTTTTTCTGTCTCTCCTTTTCTCTATGTAAAAATCTGCCTTTCAAATAAAAAACTTGAAAAAAAATTGTTCACTTGTTTATTTAACCTACAGCAACAGTTCAATGTTGTTCCATAGAATGCCAAAACTATTATCATCTTTTAAAAGCCCTTTCTCACCCACTCACAAAAATTACAGCTTTGTAAGAATATTTGCGAGCATCATTGCATATTCAATCACACACATGTTGGTAAAACTTCCCTGTGTTTTTTTTTTCACTATTAAGAGTGAAGGAAGCAAAAATGAAAATGTCTTTGGGGAGGAGATCTCATCAGATTTTTGAGTCTCCGATGAATTCAGGAAGCATTTAAACCATTTCATCATATTTCTTCTGGGAGACTGTGAGTCAGAAACATAAATACTTCCTCCACACAGGAACAAGCGTAGGATGAGCATGCCACTCGGCAGAAATTAACGGGAACCATAGGCTGTCTTCCCAGAATCTTTGTTCATAAGCCATGCATGGAAGAGGACGCATTCAACCTCCCACTAAGAGGTAGGCTAGAGCTCAAATCACACTTGCGACATGAGACAAAAGGAAAGATATGACCTGTCCAGGCGTAATGTTTGCTCACGGCTTACTGATGCTTTAGGCATGGACTCTTCTTAACACCCAAATCATGCCCTTGAAGAAGAGGTGCAGGCCATGAGTTTGATTTTAGGTTACCTCTTCATAAATGTGAGTTAGGCACGTGTATGCTCTCACAAAGTGTTTCATGCTTGTAAAAATATGGAAATCTGCTACCTCCTCTGCAATTCAGAGAATGATTTCTGAAAGTATGCCATTGGGAAATTGAAAATAAGAAGATGGGAAGGAAGGAAGAACGGAAGGAAGGAGGAAGGGAGAGAGATGGAGGAATGGAGGCAAGGAAAGAAGGAGATGGTGCTTGCAGAGCTTAGGCAGGAAGGGGAGAGCGGAAAGTATGACTGAGTTTCTAAATCTATATTGTGACAGGTGTCTGTTTTGTGTAAATAAAATAATCTCAAGTAAATATATTAAATATAATTAACAGATAATGAACAATATATTTAAGCATACAATTTTGCATATTTAATTTAATGTGTAGCCCTATAAAAGCATCCTATCACTTTAGAAAACAAACTGCTATGGCCCACAGGAACATATTATACTGTATCATAGGATAAACTGTGAGAGAGCTGGAATGCTCCTAATAAAAAGAAAAGATGATGAGATGGGAATGTTGGTTGTCTCGTGTGATACATATTTTTATATGTGTATAAATATTGCCCTATACCCTATGATATGTTCACGTGTTACGTGTTAATCAAAACATTAAAGTTTTCAAAAAATTGCAAAAGGAATCCTCATCAGCCCATACATTTCCGTCTTCTTCCTGGTATTCCCTCCCTTCTGATCATCTTCACACACAATCTTAAAGACAGCCACTGATCTATTTCCTGTCACTACTGGTTATTTTGTATTTCTATAGATTTTTGTAAGTGGAATCACAAAAGTTATAGCATTTTTGCTTGTACTTCTCTATCTTACCTACCATAGTTCATATATCAACAGCTTGTTTCTTCTCATTAATGTTGCTATATTACATAAACATACCAGAATTTATTTGTAATGTCACCTGCTAATAATTATTTAGCTTATCTTCCATTTTCTAAATAACTAGAACATAGAGTTCATATATATATTTTTGATTCCGTAAGGAGCTATCTAAGTGTTTTCTAAAAAGGTTTATTATTTTGGGCCCGGCGCGGTGGCGCAAGTGGTTAAAAGGTCCTCACCTTGCACGCCCGGGATCCCATATGGGCGCCGGTTCTAATCCCGGCAGCCCCGCTTCCCTTCCAGCTCCCTGCCTGTGGCCTGGGAAAGCAGTCGAGGACGGCCCAAAGCTTTGGGAACCTGCACCCGCGTGGGAGACCTGGAAGAGGCTCCTGGCTTCGGATCGGCATAGTACCGGCCCGTTGCGCTCACTTGGGGAGTGAATCATCGGATGGAAGATCTTCCTCTCTGTCTCTCCTCTCTGTATATCCGCCTTTCCAATGAAAAAATAATAAAAATAAATCTTTAAAAAAAAAATAAAAAGGTTTATTATTTTATATTTAGGTCTACAATGAAAATTTCAATCATTCCACTTCTTTGTCAAAACTTGGCATGGTCCTTCGCTTTTACTTTTTCATTAACAATATTTATTCCAGTTTTAATTTACATTTCCAATGTATGAATATTTGAGAACATTTCTTGAATTTATTTGCTATTCATATATTTCTGTTGTTAAAATTTTAACTCTATTTATCAACACAAAGAGAATCAATTTCATGTATCTCAAAGAAACTTTAAATATATCTTGTGTGCATAATTTCTTTACCAGAAAAATGTTTTCAAAGTAACTTCTTGCAGGCTTGTATTTCCATTGTCTTCCTCCTAACTGATCTAATATATAAAAAAGTGTACAGATTTACACATTTTAAAACAAATTGGATAGAACATAAAACAATAGAGCTTTTGTGTGTGTGTTTTGACTGTTTGTTGCCTGTGTTTACTTATAATTCATTTTCATTTTTATGAATTACATCTCATTTTATGATACAGTTTCATAGGCTCTGGGATTCTCCCAGCTCCTCTTCGTACCCTCCCCCCATGGTGGATTCCTCCACCTTGTTGCAGTATTGCAGTTCAATCACAAACTTGAGATAATGTATGGTTTTATTATAGCCCTTTCTTTCCTGTGATTAATGGTATCACCTGTTTTTTCAGTAGGATTTACTCTGAATATCTAACCCCTGGGAGATACTATTCTGCTTTCTTTTCTTTCCTGAGAAGTAAGCAGATGGAAGGAGACACAGTCTGTCTTCTCTCTTTATGTTTACATAATATACTCAACTTGTGTGTAATTTACCTTGCATTCATCTTATTCAAGTTCAGTTTTGCCTGCCACTCTCTTCATTCTGCAACTGAGTAGATATCATTTCCTCAAAGAGAACAGGTTTCACAAGTGCATGCTTTCGTGGGCCCACTGATGCCAACGATGCTTTCTCAACTCTCCCCTCCATGAAAGACTCTTTACTAATTAATTCAAATCAAAATTAATTTAGCACTCTCTTTACACATCATAACTTACTCATGAGGTCATCCAAAGGTCAGAAATGCAAAAAGAGCATCTGTTTCCAAGCACAAAGGACACCACAGGAGACAGAGAGGCACAAAATTAGTTTCCAGTGCCGACAAAATATATATACAGATAAGATAATAAAGTGACATTCATTTTTAGAGTCAGATAATTCCAGCACTACTGCTTCCTGACTATTAACTTGGTTAAAGTTACCTTATCTCTACTTTTGTTTTTTTGAGATACTCAATGGGTACAATAATAGCATTTACATCTCATAGTTGAGTATATAAAAATACAACACATGGGAAGCATTCAGTAGTATTTTAGCATGTAGTAAACAGTCTGTAAATCCCAATTTTAAAAATATGTGTATTATTCCCACTGTTATTTTCTGTATTTTTTATCACTACTTCAATAGTTTGCGTTCTGTGTATTTGTGTGTGTGTGTGTGTGTGTGGTTTGCATTGTTTTTAGATTCTTAGACCACTCATCTTCATCTGAATACACACCTGGAGTGAGAATAAATGTTTATTCCTCATGGGCATTTACATTTACTTTGTTTTAGAAAGAAGATGCTCTCAAATCTCCAATTCTTTACTGAAGAATAAGACAGATATTAATCCAGGTCAGGTTCAGTATCTGACACCATGAATTAAATGACCTCAGAGAACAAAGGATATTGAAGATGCGGATTCTTCATAGCTTGTAAGCTACCATCTTATCCAGAGCAGGTACTTTGAGAGGGTGCACCACACCACCTCAGCCAAAGTCATGTTGACATTGGTCATAGGGTCTAACTAGTGGAAGGATTTTAAGAAGCACCACAAACAAAGCTTCTCCTGTAGAATTATACATACAACATCTCTGGAATTTGATTGCTTTTCTTGATTTCACATCTCTCCGGTGACAAGAAATTTACTACACTCAACAGTAGACCAAATCCAGGTACACACACAGTCAACAATGGATAATGAAAACCAAACCATGGTGACTGAGTTTATCTTTACAGGCATCACACAGGATCCTGAGCTGCAGATTACCTTTTTTGTGGTCTTCCTCATCATCTATCTGATCAATGTGGTGGGGAACATTGGCATGATTGTCCTCATCCTGACAGACACTCAGCTACACACACCCATGTATTTTTTCCTCTGCAATCTCTCCTTTGTCGACCTGGGCTACTCCTCGGCCATTGCCCCCAGGATGTTGGCTGACCTTTTGACAAAGCACAAGGTGATCTCCTTCTCCAGCTGTGCCACCCAGTTTGCTTTCTTTGTAGGTTTTGTAGATGCTGAGTGCTATGTCTTGGCTGCTATGGCCTATGATCGTTTTGTGGCCATCTGTCGACCCCTCCACTACAGTACCTTCATGTCCAAACGAGTCTGTTTGACTCTCATGCTGGGCTCTTACTTGGCAGGTCTAGTGAGCTTAGCAGTACACACTTCACTTACCTTCAGCCTGAATTACTGTGGTTCCAATATCATCAACCATTTTTTTTTGTGAAATCCCACCGCTCTTGGCTCTCTCATGTTCAGATACCTATATCAGCGAAATATTGCTCTTCAGTCTGTGTGGCTTCATTGAATTCAGCACCATCCTCATCATCTTCATCTCCTATGCCTTCATCCTCATTGCAATTATCAGAATGCGCTCTGCTGAAGGACGCATGAAGGCTTTCTCTACCTGTGGGTCTCACCTTACTGGGGTTACCCTCTTCTACGGCACGGTCATGTTTATGTACTTGAGGCCAACATCAAGTTACTCTCTGGATCAAGACAAGTGGGCCTCTGTGTTCTACACTATTATCATCCCTATGTTGAATCCCTTGATCTACAGTTTGCGGAACAAGGATGTGAAAGCTGCTTTCAAAAAACTAATTGGGAAAATACCTCAATAAAAATTTTGGAAACAGGGCCCAGCACGGTGGCCTAGTGGCTAAGGTCCTCACCTTGAATGTGCTGGGATCTCATATGGGTGCAGAGTCTAAACCCAGTAGCTCCATTTCCCATCCAGCTCCCTGCTTGTGGCCTGGGAAAGCAGTCGACGACGGTCCAAAGCCTTGGGACCCTGCACCTGCGCGGGAGAGTTGGAGGAAATTCCTGGCTCCTGGCTTTGGGTTGGTGCAGCACCAGCCATTGCCGTCACTTGGGAAGTGAATCATCAAATGGAAGATCTTCCTCTTTTTGTCTTTCCTCTCTGTTTATCTGACTTTGCAACAATAATAAATTCATCTTTTAAAAAATTACGGCAACATGTATTTACCACAGTGGCAGAAAGAAGATGACAAGAGGTAGAATTGCAAATAACTTTTCAATTCATACTACCTAAGATACTTTCTATTTCGTGAATCAATTTTTAAAATCTGTATTTTTTATAAAAATTTTACAATCTGAAAGAAATATATATTACATTTTGACAGACATGCTGAAAAACATGCTTTAGCCTTTATTTTACATTGATTTATATGTTGATTAGAAATATAGGCAAAGCTTGATAAACAACAGACTGTTTTCTTTATTAAGAAAAGATCAAGAGTTTTCTTAAACATGTTTTCTCAGGATCTTGAAGGATATCAGATATAAATACTGAAATTTTTTCTTCATTGAAAGGAAGACATGGAAAATACAGTTAAAATAATGAGGAATGTAAAAAAAAAAAAAAAAAACCACGGCCAGTGTGAAGGATGATTTAAATTAAAGCCTGAAGGGCTAGGATTTAAGGAACAATAACATAGCATGCTGCAATGTGTTTTCTCTGAACAGACTGCCATCAGTAACAAAACCATACACAGTCCAAGAATGAGAGAGACTTACAATGTGCCACTCCTCAGCTGTGAGCCCATTAAAAGGATCCTCAGTTTTTATGACTTGAGGTTTTCTGTTATTCAAAGGGTTTCAGCTAGTAACCACATAGTCCCTTCGGTGAGCACATAGCTTTTGTCAACTTCACATATAGACATCCTTTCAGTCAGAAGCAGATGTGAAGTTGTCAGTGCGTGAACTCTTCACGGAGAGCTTCCTGTTCCCAAAGAACCCAATGTATAAACCATCGGAAGATAGAGCTTTCCTATCCCATTAACTACAAAGAAAAATTTTTGTTGCAATAAAAAGAGCAGCTCTATGAAGATCAGAAAGGTCACTGAATCCCGTGATTCAATCATGAATCAGTGAGCTTGTTGCTGAAAGACTATGATTTTTCTCAATTGTTGGCTACATCCCTTAAGAAATGAAACATTTTAAGCTTCCTTCAACATTATGAGTCCTGGCAACAATCATTAGAGATGGACAGTTCCCTGATTTTAAAGAGGATGAGGCTAAACCCATACCTGTCAACCAAATTAAAGGGTAGAATAAAAATAAATGATCGCTTGGACTTGCACTAACTACTGAACATTTCAGAAAAAGCCCTCATATGTGTTATGCTGTTTATCTAGCTGTAATTAAAATGGTCTTAGGAAATATAAGTAGAATATACTTCATGCATTCTTTAGATGGTTAGGATAAGGCAAGATAATTCTCTCCCTCCCCTGCTCACCACACAAGAGTTCCTCTTTAGGAGGTAATTTAATCCATTCATAATCACAGGTTTAATTCAGCACTAAGTACAATATTCAACAAGTAAAAAGGAGGCTGGCCACATTTCCACTGGAGCAAAGCAATGGTTAAATATGATTATATTCCAAGATGGCTATGTTTTTTTTTTCTTTTAGATTTATTCATTTTTATTGGGAAAGCAAATTTACAGAGAGGACAGAGAAGAAGAAAGTTCTTCCATCCGCTGGTTTACTCCCCAAGGGCTGCAGTGGCTGGAGCTGAACTGATCCTAAGCCAGAAGCTTCTTTCTGGTCTCCCACACAGGTGCATGCCACCAAAGCTTTGGGCTGTCCTCAACTGCTTTTCCAGGTCAATGCAAGACAAGGGCTTTAGCTGCTAGGTTACCACACTGGGCCCCTATTTCATTCCTATGAACTTGTTTTGGTATTCTGTATTAAATCCCATATACACGCATATATATACATTCACATATGTATCACACTTTGCTATTGCATGAATATTTCAAAAAAATACACTGCACAAGATGGCTTAGGGATTTTTTTAATTTAAAATTTAAGTTGCCAGTTGATTCTCATTCTATTTCTATTTCTAAGCACCAATCACTTCTATTTTTCTTTATTATGTATTAACTGACTATGCTATCAATTTTATATAATGAAGAATCATACATATTTTATTTTTATGTACTTGATAGTAGAAATATCCACATAAATGTATGATGAGAAAAAGCACATAAAAATTGGAATGCCTTGATTTTTATTTCAGTCTCACCAACAGTTATCCTAAACAAATCCCTTACTATCTCTGTACTTCAATTATTTCATCAATAAACAGCAGAATGCTGTATGTATATAATTAGTTTACTCACTTGTACAAAAAAAAAATCAATAAATATTTTGCTTCAAAAATCCCGCTGTGCATTGGCATGGTGGTGTTACAAGCTGATTATCTGCCCAATGTGACAACATCTTATTTGAATGCTGATTCAAGTCCTGTCTGCTCCACTTACAATCCAGCTCCATATCTGAAGTTTAAGAAAGAAGCAGAGAGGCTCTGCAGCTAAAGTCCTCACCTGGAATGCACCAACATCCCATATGGCCACTGGTTCTAATCCCAGTGGCCCCATTTCCCATCCAGCTCCCTGATTGTGGCCTGGGAAAGCAGTAGAGGACACCCCAAAGTCTTGGGACCCTTCACCCGCATGGGAGAACTGGAGGTAATTCCTGGCTCCTGGTTTTGAATCGGCCCAGGACCAACTGTTGCAGTCACTTGGGTAGTGAATCGCTAGATGGAAGATCATCCTCTATGTCTCCTCTCTGTATATTTGACTTTGCAATATAAATAAATATACCTTAAATTTTAAAAAAAAGCAAAGAATGGGGCCCGACACGGTAGCCTAGTTACTAAAGCCCTAGCTTTGCATGCCCTGAATCCCATATGGGTGCATATTCTAATCCCAGCTGCTCCACTTCCCTTGCAGCTCCCTGCTTGTGGTCTAGGAAAGCAGTAGAGGACAGCCTGAAGCATTGAGACCCTGCACCCGCTTGGGAGACCTAGACACAGCTCCTGGCTCTTGGCTTTGGTTTGACTCAGATCTGATCATTGCAGCCATTTGGGAAGATCTCCCTATCTCCTCTTCTTTCTGTATATCTGCCTTCCAATATAAATAAATATTAAAAACTAAAATGGTAAGTAATAATAATCAGATATCAAAACGTTAACCTTGTTCATATAGATCACATTTCTTTGTATTCTGTAAACTAGTTGCCACTGATCAGGGAGAACTTAACAATAGTTTTCTTTTTGAGACTAGCTTATTTCACTAAGAACAGCAATTTCCAGTTGCATCCATTTTGTTGCAAATTACATTTCTTTCTTTCTTGTGGTTCAACATTATTCTGTAGTATGCATATTATATGTGTATGTGTGTGTAAGTATGCATGTTTTTAATCCAATCATTCATTGATGGAAATTTGGATTGATTTCAAACCTGATAATTACAAGACATCATTGAATAAAACTAACTGAAAATGAATCAAATAGATGAAAATATGTCACATGTTCCTGGACTAGACAAATCAGTATTACTAAGTATAGCATAGAGATGCTGATGAACTGGAAATAATGAATACTTCTTGCCTGCACATTTGTCTTACCAATTAGGTCTAATATTTCCTTTAAAGTTAGGTAGAAAAATTTAAATATTGTGCTTTGTTGCAAGTACCCTACCTGTATGACATATCTGTTGTTAAGCCATAGAATTGTATCTGTGATTTATTCTTTGGGGACTAGTTGTTGAACACCTAGGAATCACTCAGAGAAGCAGTTAAATTACCTAGGACAGTGCTGAACAACTGAGAGTGTAGGGCTGCACTGCATCCAATAAAGAAACCAGTGGTTCTTCATAAGGTAACAATGTCTCACAGATCAAGAACAGAGACATACTAATATTTATTATTTTGATGTCAGAGATAAATTCTGTGAGTTTATTAACACACCGATTCACACAAACCCCAACTCATAAGAAACTCAACAAATCTGATTATATTTAAACTCATTTGTTTATTTTTGAGATCTATGTTTATTTGAAAGGCAGAGCTATAGAGAGGAGAAATAGAGAGAGAGATTTTCCATCTGCTGGCACATTCCCCACAAGGCTATTACTTCCGGTAACTGAGCTGACATGAAGCCAAGAGCCAGGAGCTTTCTCCAAGTCCACCACACAAACTCAACATCCCAGGGATCTGAGCCATGTTCCCTTGCTTTCCCAAGACAGAAGCAGAGAATGAATTGAAGTAACTGGGACACAAACCACTGCCCGTATGGGATGTTGGTGTCACAGGCAGATGCCTACTCTAAAATGCCACATTACTGGCCTCAGTTGTGCACTTTTCAAATATAAGACTTTACATTTTCAGGGAGGAGGTGGTTTTACTTTAAATTTATGCTCATATAATACTCAACCCATAGTGATCTTTCTGTTCATGTTCTATTGCCAGAGGTAAGGCACTACAGATCCAGACAAGACATACTCTTCAAGGATAACATCTAGAATCAAATAAGGTTATCTCAAACTCCTTCCCAAACACCTTTTCAAAGAGATGACAACATCTATTTTAAGAGTGACATGTACTGTACATTTTCTGAAAATGAATACAATTATAGTATTTATAGTTTGCTACAAATAAATTATAACAAATTGTTCATGAACCACAGATTGTATTTTGGTGCATGTCAAGAGTTAAAAATTTCATCTCTCACTTTCTTGGCTTTTTTTTTTCAAACACTAGAGACATACCAACAAAACTAATTAAATAAATTGGCAACAATGTTCCCTTGCTTC